TTCCTGCTCCCAAATCAAGCCCAGAGCCCCTTAAGCAAGAGCAGCCCGAACTCCGAGCTGAGCTGTCGGTGGGTGCCAACCTGCCCCAGGGTTTCCACCACCAGGGATCGGATTCTTCCTCCTGGGAGGTTCCCCAAATGCTTCTTGGTTATAATTTAAATGCCTCTTTTCCTCTCCAAGCTGGGGCGAGTCGTTTCCCTCGAGCCGGTGGAGGGGCTGGTGCGTTCCCTGGTGTTGCAGGATGTTTTGACTTTCCCAGCTGGGTAGAGAGGAGCTCCCTGCGCACGTGCTGGCGCGTTATTTTGACTGGCGTAGCGAACCGGAGTGGCTTATTTTACAGAAATCCGTATTCTCCTCCAGCATGTGTCAGGGACAGATTGCTTGAGACAGTCCTGGAGTAGTTTGTTCTTAGCCAGCAGCAAAGCTAATCTCATTTGGATCCCATGTGCAGCAGGGTGCCAAGTTGGCTGGGGAAATAGGCATTTTTAAAAAAAAAAAAAAAAGCACGTTTCAGGAATCTGAGGATTAACGTATCAGCGCGGTGCGTCTGAGCGCTGTGCTGTTGACACTTTTCCCTGCTTTGCGTTATGCATGGAGCAAATGTGCGTATGCGAGACTGTAGTAACTCAAATCCAGTTCTAAATAATGTCACGGGGGCCGCGCGGTGCCAAATTTATCCGCAGCATAAAACTCTCAGTTGTGTGGTTTGGGGAAAACATTCTCCAAAGAGGTGGAAAGGAGCTGGCTGTTCCTGGGAAGGAGGTGAGGAAGATCTCACCCTCTCTCTAAGTGACAGCTAAAACTTTCCAGCTCTGATCGGGCATTTTTAGTGCCTTGGGTTGTCGCCCTCTGGCATCACCCGGCGAAGAGCTCGCACAGCACCCGGACGGGCTACAGCCCTTCGGCACCTCACCCCGGCTGCTGAAGCTGCCGAGGGGTTCTGGGGAGAGGAGCGGCTTTGCTACGGGTTGTTTTGCAGACAGTCACCTGCACGTTGTCAGTGTGTTTTTAGAGTTCCATGTTAAAAACGTTAAAAAAACCCCAACCACCCAGAAAGCAGGTCCCAGTTCCCATCGCAGCGGGAGCCCCTGCTGACGCCGTCCCCCACCCCGTCCCCTCCCCGCAGTGCTCAGCCCGGTGCGGAGAGCGGAGCGTGGTGACACGGGACATCCGCTGCTCGGAGGACGAGAAGCTGTGCGACGCCAGCGCCCGGCCCCTAGCCGAGAAGAACTGCACAGGACCACCCTGCGACCGGCAGTGGACCGTCTCCGACTGGGGACCGGTGAGATCCCGGGGTGGCCAACCAAGTGGCCATCACGACCCGTTGCAGCTGGCCCTGCTTGCAGGCTTGCTTGTGTCTCCGGCGCTGGGAGATTTGGGGTTGGACTCATCCTCCCCGGCAGCTCCCAGCTCCGACAGACCCGCTGGCAGAGCCCACCTCCAAAATGATTCAGCCGCTTTGGCTCTCCTAGTCCCCGTGTCACCCTCTATCTCATCGCCAGGACTTGCCCACCGGTGGGGTCACCCTGGGCCACCCTGACCGACCGCCCATGGTGGCACCGGGGTTTGGTGGTGTTTGGGAGCGCCGAGCCCTCCTCTTCACACGGCTCCTCCTTGCACAGGGCAGGGATGAGCTGCTGGGTGGACTCCGGCACTGGGGGTGATCCAGCATCCCAGTGGGTCCCACGGCTTCCCAGCAGGTTGTCCCTGGGGCTTCTCCTTCAGGGGCACAGCGTGCAGGAGGGGTTAAACCCTGAAAACGCGGTCAGCTCCTGCTGCCATCACCTGCAAGAGGGCCTTAGTGGGTGTCAAAATCATCCTGTCTGCTGCATAGCGTACCTTGACAATGCTGATGCTCCCTGCCCAGAAAATGAACATTTTCCCCTTCCTTTTCCCCCTTTTCCCCTTTCTTTTCCCCCTTTTCCCTTTTCTTTCCCCCCTTTTCCCCTTTCCGCACAATTCTGCTACAGAGAACCCCTTCCACCCCAAGCTATTTTTACCCGGGTTTTGATACATTAGCATCAGCTAAAAATAAGTAGTTTCCATGGCAGCAGCGGCGCTGTGAAACACCGCGCGCCTCTGCAAGAGCGGCCGCAAAAGAGCCGGGGAACGCTCGCTGCCTCCTCCAGCGCTCAGGGCAGTGCCTGCCTGGCCCTTCGCAGTCTCAGGGAGGGGGGAAAATATTTGTACCCCCTTGCTTGGTCCCCTTTGCCTTGACCTCTCTGAGAGCCATCCCGGGGTTCCCTGCTCACGGGGGTTCCCCTCCTGCCTGGCCCGAGAGATGCTGAGTTTTGCTCGGCGTCAGCGTGATGGGACCACGGGGTGGGTCGGCTGCGGTGGGGCTGCCCAGGGAAGGATGCGCTGAACTTCCCCGTGGCTATTTTAAGCTGATCTCCAAGGATCCCTCCGTGATTCGCCGGTGGTGGGGTTGGGGAGGTGGCTGAGTGAGCCCCGTGGAGGCATCTTGGCCCCTGTCCCGGAGACCTTGTCCTGGGGACCCTGCGGGGACGGGGATGGGGATGGAGCCCTGCTGCCTTCCCCGCTGCTGACCGCCTGCCGTGCCCGCTGCGGTTTCAGTGCAGCGGTGGCTGCGGGCAGGGCAGGATGATCCGGCACGTGTACTGCAAAACCAGCGACGGGCGGGTGGTGCCGGAGTCGCAGTGCAACCTGGAGACGAAGCCGCTGGGCATCCATCCCTGCGGGGACAAGAACTGCCCCTCGCACTGGCTGGCGCAGGACTGGGAGCGGGTGAGTGTGACCCCCCCCCCTGGGCTGGGGGGGATGTGCTTGGGGTGGGGGATTGGTTTTGGGGGATGACGGAGGAGAGGGGTGATGCGGTGGGGACGGCCCGGGCTGCACGGCTCTCAGCTGGCCCCGCTCGCGCCCCTGCAGTGTAACACCACGTGTGGCCGGGGGGTGAAGAAGAGGATCGTGCTCTGCCTGGAGATCGTCAACGGGAAGATCAAGACCCGCAACCCCGCCGACTGCGACATCGCCAAGAAGCCCGTGGAGGAGACGACGTGCTTCGAGCGGCCGTGCTTCAAGTGGTACACGACCCCCTGGTCGGAGGTGAGCGGGGAGGGAGGCGAAGGCAGCTCCGGGGAATCTGTGGGAGGGAGATGGGATGGGGGGTGGAAATACCCTTCTTTCAACATGCGCTTACCCTGAGCCTGTGGTGCCCCATTCCCTCGCCCCGAGGGCCACACCACCTGCAAAATAACCCAAGGAGATGGGCAAAGCTCTGCAGGACGCAGCCCCCGAGGGAGCACCCAGGGGTGCCTTTTGCTGCTCTGCAGCTCGGGGCAGAGAGTCTGCCCTGCTGCAGTGCAGTCTGGATGGGCTGTCCTCAGGGAGAACAGGGATGAGAGGAGGTGTTTGGGGTCAGCTTTGGCTTTTTTTTTTTTCCTTTTTTTTTTT